TGAAGTCAAGTAAATGATTTGTTTACCCCATACCCAGCGGGTAAACAACCCACCCTGGCCCCCTCCGGGTTATTAACGACGTTCGGGCGATAGTAATCACAAACTTGAAATACAGTTAACAAATTCTGCAAACAAAACAAAAACGAAACAATAAAAGCAACAATCACAAAATGCGAAAATGAGTAAAGAGCAGCAGAGCGCTGCAAAAGTGGGTATTCCAAGCTGTTAGAATACTACAAGGCAATAACAACAACAACAGGGAACAGGGTATGTATTTCCAAATATATAACTACCCAAAGCTAGACTGTGGGTGTTAAGCCCGTTCAAAGTAGATATGTAGTGGGTATATACGCTCGTAAGTAACAACGTCAACGCTGGGCACAGTAGCATCGGGTAACGCTGCTGGCGCAACTGAATTATGAATGAAACTTGTCTTTAAGTTTGTACTACGTGCACGCATACATACGTATGTGTGTAGTGTGGATTCCAGAACACCTACGCTTTTTGCCATTGTCTGACTCTTTGAAGCGAATTAGGGGGCATGATTGTGCGAGAGAGGGAATTGGAGGGTTTGCTTTTATATACAGCAATTTCATTACGTTACATACCCTACACACAAACACCACGCACAGAGCCCACATAGAAGTCCACCTACACAAAAATTTCCGTCCCAGCTATTATTCTTCTTCATCATCAAAGTAAGTTATGGTGAGTAAGGTCTGGGTGAAAAAAACGCTGGGCTATGTATGTTTGGAAATCTGTATTACTGCCGTTACTGTCTCCGTGCTGGGCTCGTCGTCTCATCCTTATGAATGGAGTTTTTTTTTTTTTTTTTTTTGTGGTGGGTGTTGTATTGATTTTCCGCTCGTTCTCTTTGGTGCGTGTGTATCCATGGGACACGTGCTTTTTTCTTAATTTCTGAGTGAGACTTTTCACAGAAAATGAAGAAGAGCAGGTGGAGGAAGTTATCTTTGCTTGAAAGTATGAAGGATTTAAAATGGATGAAATATATAATTTATTGTGAGAACCTAGTAAGCAAATAATTTTTAATAAAAATTTACGATTAATTTTTTTCTGCAAACTAAAAGAACATATCTGCGGCTGTCAGATATCTGAAAATACAAAACAATCAGTCATTTTGATAAAGAATCTAAATAAAGACAGAAAAAAACTCAAAATAAACCGTCATTTAAGAATTCAAGAATCGAACATCATAGAGAGGGGAAGGAAAGTATGTAGCAATTGTACCTGAGGAGTTTCGATTGGAAGTTGATATTGACCATTGCAAGATGTTAAGTCCAACTGATTCAAGGTAAGTTAAATCTCTTGTCACATTTCAAATGAACCCATATGTGGTAGGCTTATTGTATCCCATAGATTTGTCGAATTTGGTTAGGACCCTCAAAATACCAATAATTTTAGTGATACTTTTTTGTATTGAGTCACTCTCGAGATCGGATTTTTATTCAATGAGAGTCAAAATTATATCCAGTTCTTTTGAATAATAGAGCTGAAGTCTTTAACTACCCTACATCAGAAGGTACTGCTTGTGGGTGCTGTACCAAATGCTCGACCTGCCCTTAATCAAGAAGTGCAGAATGCTTCTAAAACCTTCAAATATCTTTTTTTGTTTTGGCTTTATTTCATTATTCTTAAAATGAAAATTCTGGAGCTCTTCTTCAGATGGGCGTTTTTTTTATAAATTGCGCCTAAATTTAGGGTTTTACGAAGATTTGTCATAATGGGTTTAATGAAAACATATTCAATGTAAATAAGATGTAAATTCTATACATTTTTAATATATTTAAGCAGCATTTTCCCAGGAGCCCAAATCAAAATACAGCTACTTACAATAAAAATAGACAATGCGGGCTATTATAATAGTTTTAATCATCTTATCATTCCATTAGGACAACCTAGCTAAATTGAATATTAGTTTTATTACTCTTTACTATTTAAGTGCCATTATTTTACTTTACATATAATTCATAGAAATTGATTGCTTTTTATTTCACTTCATTTATACTCTTAATATCTCTTCCTTTTCCTATTTATTTATTCTTTCATATTATAATTTTTTTTTATTTTGTTTCAAATGTAAATTAAATTTAACTCCAATCTATTTATACAATTTAAATACCCCAATGTTTTTTAACGCTTTCATGAACACTGCCACATGATACTAAATGTCAGTGTTACCACTTCGTTGTGTTAAACGATGACATCAAATGTCAATGTCTCACAAGAATGGCAAGGCGCAAAAATTTAATGGCAACAACGGTGAGACGAGATTCACAGTAATGAGTTCGTTTACCTGTGTGTGTTTTTTCCATTATTTTTTGGCAATGGTTTCATTGTCTGGCGCTTTTTAAAGTAGAAAAAAGTGTAAAATAAGCGCGCAAGTTATTGAAACATTTTGCTCTGGATATTCTAGCAACTCTTGAGAATTGTTAACGAGAATTTCGGAAAGATATCATTTTAAAAAGTGGGCCAAAGTAATATGGATTCAGCAGCGTTAGAGGAGAACAAACAATTGGAGGGAGAGTCGTCGTCGGCGGCGTCGAACAATCCAAAAAGTGAAAGTTTTAATGAGGAGCCAGAAAGTTCGGAAGAACCCCTCCGAAAGCGTAAAAAATCAGCAGACGAATCACAACAGGATGCCTTGGTTACTTCGACGGTGGGTTTGAGGCGTTTCAAACGCATACCCATTTTCATTGTCGACTATCATAACGATGTATTGGAATTTATATACCGGTGTCTGGCCTCAAGGCATTTGCCATTGGAAAACAATACCCTGCTACATTTCGATTCCCACCCCGACATGGTTATTTCGCGTGAAATACCTGCCAGTTCAGCCTACGACAAGGAGACCATGTTGGCTGAATTGAGCATTGAAAACTGGATTATGCCTGCTTGTTATGCTGGGCATTTCAATCGGGTCATTTGGGTTAAGAATTCCTGGTGCCACCAAATGCCCGAAGGCAAATACAACTTCAAAGTGGGTCACAAAGAGGATAAAATCAGTGTGGACTGTTGCCTAGACTATTTCATATCGGAAGGCAATTACTGCCAAACATCTGAATTGGAACAGCCACGTGATATGGAGTTGCATGTAATCAACAATGACACCGAAACTGTGCCCGATCCCAAGCAACTGTTGTCTTCGGAAGATGCTTTAAATTATATACTAGATATTGATTTGGATTTCTTTAGTACTTCGAATCCGTTTTTGGAAATCTACAAACATGCCAATTGCTACGAACAATTGCGTCAAATATTCCATTTTGAAAGTGCCACAGAATCAACAGCCGTGGGCACCACCGAAAAGAGGAAACTTCAGCTGGAAGCCTTAAAGGGTGTCTTTGAATATTTGGAAGAGAAACGTTCATTTGAAGGCATTGAAATGCCCGATCCAGATATTGTCAGCAAGGAGGTATTCGATCGCATTGTTGCCTTGGCAGAATCTCTACAAAAGTGCTATGCCGATGATGAAATCGATTGGCTTTTGATATTCGATTCGGGCAGTACCACAGACACCAATGGTCTACCTCATCACATCAGTACAGAAGCTGAATTGGAAACATATTATGGCCAATTCAAAAAGTTCCTTACCCAATTGCCCCACCCACCAGTTCTCATTACCATGGCCTGTTCAGCGGAGGATGACTATTGTCCACGCAATCAAGTGTCGTGCATACAAGAGAAGGTTGTCCAAATACTGAAGGAGGTATTTGGTGACAAGGTCCATGATAAACCGATTTTACATTACATGGATGATGAGTGGGATGTAATGCAGTTGTAAGACTACGATAGCAATTGAAAAGAGAACAAAATAACATAGAGATGGGACAGCACGTAAAGTTAAACAGGACTCATGCAGTTTATTTAATTACTGGAGGCAGGCACAATGCCCGATTATTAAATCCAGGCGACTGCAGTATTGTCTATTTTATATTAACAATTAATATATTATTATTATTTTATTTAGCCCCTAAGTTATGTATTATAAGTTATAAAATTTATAAAATTTTATTATGATGTAGGAATCAAATAAAATTTGATTCATTTTTGATTGTAGCCAGTAAATGATTATGATTACCAACATATTGACAAGGACAATGAGACTTTGCATACTATACAGATAGACATCAAACACCAACCAGATGCAGATGAACTTGACATTCATTTATTAATAAAACACGCCGAGAAACGGATATTAAAAAAAAAATTATATTGTTTATTGTTGTGCTGCCTATGACGTGTGGACGGACAATCACCCGTAAAATGTTGAAGAAAGCATTGCAGTCAGTGTGTATTGGTTAAGCTAACAATATTAGATGTGATTCACACAAATTTAATACGCAAAACACACTTTTCGATTTCTTTGGAAGTTCATTGACCGTCTTTTTGTCTATATCTTAGATGATAACTGGGTAGGCTGGCAGGCAGACAAATGATAAGTGCAATGTTTTAACAATCAGACTATTGTTTGGAATCGGCACAGGGAGGAAAGGCATAAATATGGGCAATGGGTGGTGTATTCAAATCTAATTTTGAAAGGAAATATATTGGATCTAATCACATTTGAGTCGGTAATTGTTCGGTATTATATGATAAGCATGTTTAATTGGCTAACCTTTGAAATGCAGTATGAATGGGCTGTTAAAATGTTTAGTTAGCAGAGTTTAGATGGCGAGAAGCTTCATAACTCGCCCAGTTTTACTTAACTTTGATTCTCTAGCTTTCGTATAAGGTATAAGCTTTCCAAGCATTGATTTTCATTGAGAAATCTTGGAACAAAACAATACTTCTTTAAAAATGTTAGTTTTTTGCCTTTCCTCTGCAAGAACAATAAAACAATTATTCCATATAAAATTTTTATTAGTTGTCTTTCCTATCTTTTGAAAACTTCCTTATACTGACGACATAGTTCACAGCAATCACCAGTCCCGTGTTGGATGTTGGATATATCCATACTTTGATCTTGAGCCAGGTCATAAATTCCCGCCGAAGTTTGGGTATTATTTGAAGAGCAACTGAAATGAATAGGACTTATTTTTTGAAGGTCCACACATCCACACCATTTATACTTACGTAGAAACAATTGATACTCTCCTTGAATTTGTATTGAAAAGAGGTTCGAAGGGTTTTGTACTGAAAACAAAAAATAAATAAATTTATAAAATTAATAAATGAATATCAAATATTGTGGCATATTCCTACCTCTTGCCGGAAAAATCTCTTGCATGACAAACAGGTTTCTGTTTACGTGGTCCATAGCGATCTAATTCGTCATAGGGTTCAGCATTTATTATACAAGGCCTTTGATAACAATGAGATTTAATATTGCAATTATGTTTCGTCGATTTGGGTGGTATGGTCAGTGGTTTGCGAGGATGACATGTAAATGATTTCAATTCCTCATTAAGATTTCCAACATTGAACACCTTATCCTTCACGAAAAAGTCGGCCGTTAATTCAACTTTTGGTGCAATTATACCCTGGAAGAAAAACAAAAAAGTTATGGAATTTTATTTACATAAAAGACAAACTTACCGGGAACGCTGTTGTTGTCTTCATCAGTAATTGTTTGGTATTATTATGGGGACAATGTAATTTCGGTTCCGATATTTGTAATAGATCCATGAGACTCCCTCTATAATATGCCAATCTTCGCCCACTTTGCCACAGTGTAATCTCCAGGGGCTCAGTTTGCATTTGACTAATCAATGAAGCAATGGAGGGAGTGTTTTTAAAATAACCCTCCATTTTATAGGTGTCATGACACAACAAAGGAAAATATGGTTCCATGGCCCCCGTCCGAAAGAAGTAGCCCAAAGCTTTTATGGTTACTTCCAAATAACCATGGCTGCATAACCACACTCCAGGACACGTAACCTAAAAAACTCTGGTTGTAAATTTTGATTTTAAAATTTGCAATTGGAATTTCTTACGGCTTGTAATTTCAATTGGATCTTAATATGAAATCTTTGATTATTCATCGCGAATAGCTTTAGTTAACAAAAAATTTTTGTTTAATTTACAATAAATTCCTTTGTGTATATATCACTCTGCGTTTGTTGCTATGATTACACCATGTTGCTGGCCAACGTAAAAGTTGGACATGCGTTTAAGTTCCCTCTAATGGCATTTGAAAGGAAACCTGTTGCCTTTATTCTAATTTGTTATTTGTATTTATTATAACAATTTGCTTAAATTCTATGTGACAATTTATACAAATTCCATTAAATCTAACTGATCAAAGATTTTAGCAATGAGATATATGAACAAGTTATAAGGTATGGCTTTTTGAAATTCGTGAGATTTAAGGCGACTCCGCAAACGCATGGCGGTACGGGCAATGTCTCTTAACGTAAAATGTACATTCGGTTCCAGCGGCAGGTGCAAACAGCTTAAGACGGCATAAAGCCAAGAACCCAACCATTGTTCACTGTTGCTTAAATCTAAAACAGAGTGATTAGCAGCCGCAGAACTGGATGAACAGGCCACCTCTTCCATATGCTCGCCCTTGAGCCATTCTGAAATCATATTCAATAACTGTTCCAAGGTACGTTGATTCAAACGTAAAATCACACTAAGTTTGGGTGGGGTGTCACGACAGAATTTTAGCCAGGCTTCTTCGTCGCTTATCAAAGGTGGTTCCAGGTTATTGTCATAGTTGTGCGCTGACAAATGTTGGCGTAACATAAGAATTTTTGAACGTGTGCGCAGGAATTCTTGTGACTGAATATCCTTCCATTCCTTGGTGGGCAATAAATCTCGATCCACCGTTATATCAGGACTTAGCTGGGAGTACGAAAGGGACAATTAAGTCTTGGATAAAATAGTAATTTCTTTTGTTTACTTACCTCAAATTCCTCCAATTGATTCTTGACTCCATTCATCACCGGCTTCACTGGCTTTTTGGGCGGTTTAACTACCACTGCAGGACAACGTTTGCGTTCATACAGCATGTGCATGAGAAATTCCTCACCATTTTGTGGTGGTGCAGAAGGGTCGAAGTTATCCCCTGGCTGGCGTATCTCCAAAGCCTGTTGCTGAAAAGTTTCCAAATCATCGTCCACTTCCATGCTCAAAGACGCCACCATACACTAGCAGATTCCAAAGCTTATTGAAAAAAACTGGCGTCGGTGTGGAAAAGGAAGAGAGAATAATATGTGAATGAATGATAAAGATTGAAATCAAAACAAAACCATTTAAACCAAATAGGTTTCCAAAGATCGAAAACGGATAGCAGTAGGGCTTTAGAAATCTATTTTCGCCGAGAAAACCGTTGAATTGTTTTAAATCATATTAAAGGGATTAAAAGATGAACTGCTACTGTAGGCATTTATGGTTTATCTTAAGTAACACGCAGAACATTTTCTTTAGAAAGTTTTGCGTTCAGAAACGCAAATATCTTTCAAGAAAATAATTAAAAGTATTGCTTTGATAATGCCTTGTGGTGATTGCGTGTATAGGGTACACTAGTTTCTTTGCACATAATTGAAGTGAGTGACCCCTTGATTTTAACGGTACAGAGTACTTTGCGTAGCTTTAAGGATAGATGCAATTAATGGATAACGTGTTGTATGTGATTTAACAAAATTTTACGTTATATTGTTGATATTTTTGAAAATTAATGAAAGTTTCCACAATCTTCAATTAGTCTATCTTTGTAAATGCTCTCCAGCTGAGTTAAAAAAGGAAATATATTAGTTTTATTTAATTGAAATCTCTCTTACCAAATGGGTACTGTGTAAAAAATATTCACACGAAAGTTTTGTTGTTGAATAAAGTTCTAAAGTACAGTATCATCGTAGAGAAAATTTAAATGAATTCTTTAGTATAAAGACATACTTTCTGATGATGGCTGCCTGCTGATGTTAAATTTCACATTTTCACAAACTTTCGTGAGGAAGATTTTAATAATTAATCTTCGTGCATATAGCTGTTTTATACTTATACAAATTTTTGTACCAAAGGCATAAATTCGAAGCTATGTTTTCTAAATTCCCCTAATGAACCTAGGGTCAACTTGTTTTGCAACAAATGTTTATGCTTTGATTATACATTTGCTATAAATTTACCCTCTTCTATCATCCACCTCCCAATTGCGTGAATTCCATGAAGGTAAACAAAAACTAAGAGCAACTGTTTTACATGCCACTTAAACATGTTTACACCAATATTAATATATGGATTATTTTGATAGCGCACTGAAAATATTCAAAAGTATGCGCCAATGTGCGTATGTAGAGAAATAAAACACTTCATAATAAATTCATTTTAGGAAACTTGTTCGTTTGTTACTTAAATATGCACTAATCAGCTTGGATAATGTATATTTTCATGCTCATTTGTTGCCTGAAGGGGCAGGTGAGAATAGTTTGTTGTACAAAAACATACATGGATAATACACTGGCTGAATTACTTATACAATAGGGATGTCAGTTCTTGGATAGAAGGGAATAAGGAAAACTTTATTGGAGATTTGGAACTTGGGCGTCACTTTTAGACTACAATTGCGCTCTTTATAAAGTTTGAAATATCTTATTAATATGAAGAGGCCAATATAAACGAATGCCATACTTTATTTTGATGATTTTAACTTCAAAACTATTATTTTGAATTGGAATGCATCTGGACTGAGTAAAATAACAACGATAATTAATTCTTGTAGAAAAAACTAAAGGATTCTAAGGTAAGTTTAACCTGTTCTCAGAAATATTTTGCTCCTTAGTTCATATGTTGGGCGCCAAAAGTAACTTTAATTCAGAATTTTGCATGTAGATCTCAGTTTGGATTTTGGGATATTGGGAGCCAATCGCAACCATAAATAACCTAAATTCCGAATTCAGTATTTAAATCTTTAATTAGATTTAGATTTCTCTTTCAGCGATTTTTGATTTTTTTTTTGGTATTCGACATTTCTACACATGTAACCAAACATTGTGCCAAGCAGACAACTTACTACATACTATATACACACACGTTGACTTTCTTACGCTCCTCGTCAAACAAAAAGCAGGAGGCAAATTTTTACCTTAAAGTTACAAAACATTCCCTTACCATGGTTAACACACCTACAGTGGCGTTCTCACGTCCATGTCTGTCGTTTTATGGTTATTAACACACAGGAGACTCATTTGTTTTTGGATTTTCTGTTAAAGAATATAAAGAGAATGTTAACGCATTTCGAGCAAACTACTACTACTACCACTACTACACGCACTTAGCACAAATCCAACAACAAACGGCACACGTTCCAAAGTAAAAAAACAACATTCCATTATCTCCCAACAACCTGGCGGCTAATACCGAATGGTTGGCTATGTGGTTTTGACTTTGCCAGCCAGGTTAGGGGAGTGTTATGGGCGTGAATTTTTGTGTCATTTTTGAGAGGAAGAGGATATGTGAAATGCTCGTGCTTTTGTTTTGTTACCCTTTTGAATGCTTGGCTCGTTTATTTTCTTGTTATACAAAAAAACTACAAATTATATGGTAGAGCTTAGGCTTAAACAGATTAAATTAAATAGGGAATAATACATTATGTCGACTGAAAATTGCGGGGTGTGCAAAATGAGGAAATAGGTGATTAGTATCAGCTGCCCAAACAAAAAGAGGAAAGACAGGGTGAGATAAAAAAACTGCAACAAAGTCAAACACCTTAATTTTTACATTTTTAGTTTTATTGAATGAAAGCAAAAAATGTCGGAAATAGCATTAAATTTTGGAATAAGTTTAGATTTGTTCGAATTGGTCATCTATGGCACAATTTTGGTCTTTAAACGGCCAAGCAAAGCAACTTTTTAGTTCTTTTCAATCTATTTTTTTTTCTGTTGCGGTGTAAGTTCTTGCACTTTTTGAAATTCCAATGGCTTTACCCCGAGCTCATTTTTCAATATTTGCTGAATGGAATATTGCGATATGTTCAGCTCACAAGCCATTTTTCGGCCACTGCGACGCGGGTCTTGATCAAGTCGCTTCTTTACATTTCGAACCATTTCTGATGATGTTACTGTTTTCTTAGGTCCACTTCCTTGACGTCGGGGGCTACGCTACCAGTATCATGGTAATGAGCGATGGTAGGAGACACAAAAGATTTATTCACATTTAAATGGAGTGGAGTGCTCTAACGATAGCCACTTGGGGTTTTCCAGCCAAATATAAAGAAATCACACTATCACGCTTGAATTCCATCACGAATAACGGTTCTTCTTGAAAATTCTCACCAAAATGCTTTTGCACGCTTGTAAACGATATAATGAGCTGCCACTGGAATAATTTTAACAGCTGTCGAACGATTGGCTTAGAAATGACAGCAGTCTGAAATTGGTTGCAGTTTTTCATCTCTCCCTGTATATTGGCGTTATGTGTGGAACGATTTTAAACAATGTACCTCCTATCCCATATTCACCATGAGATGAATATATACGTAAAGAATAACTACTTTTCCGGTTTGCAAATCTTGTAAAATTTTCATGAAAGAAACTGAACTGTGTAAACTAATATCAAGTGGCGCCTAAGCGCAGCTTAAATAATGTAAATCCACTGAAATGGTTTTATATTGATTTGCTTTCAAAACTGTTAAAAGTTTCATTAAAATTAAAATGTATACGTGACTCTTCTTTGAAGTGTGCTGCTATTTTTTGTAAAAGAACACGTTTGGAGTAAAAAGTTGCAAAAGTTCAAGATCCTTCTGTTGAAGTTGCTTTGCTTCCTCAAAGTGGTATACTTGCATTCTTGAACCTATATTATACGTAGAATACTTTCCTCTCATTATTATACATAGAATACTTACCTCTGCCATAGGAATCCCAATGAATAATTAACACACATTATTTTTCAATATTCAAATATAATTTTATTGTATTTTTTTCTTTGGGTTTTATGCAAATATTTCTTGTTTTAGTTTTTGTTAAATTTAGAGCTATTTATTTTAAATAATACCTTTATTATTTTTCTTACATTAAGTATGTATGTTTGTGTTGCTTGCATGTTATACATTTTATTTTTTTTAATTTTTAGCAAATATTTTTATTTTTTAGTAATAATTCATATAAAGTAACTAATTATGTTTTTATTTTCTCAAATATGTATAAACAAAATAATATACATCTACCGATTACCATTTAAATTTAACTATAATATTGATGATGAATACAAAAAAAAATGTCCAATATTTTTCTTTTATAATTTATTTAAAATGCATTTGCATATTTCTTATAAGGACTAACCACGTCTGTTTAAACATAAATGATTAAAAGTAATTATCTGTTATTTGTTGTATATTTTTAAGAAATAAGTTTTCTTACATTTCAATATTTTTTTGGATAATAAGAAATACTAAAATTACCTTTTAATAATTTTTTAACACATTTCTTCAAGACAATATTTGAAAAATCTTTATTATGTTTGTTTATGTTTTCCTTAATTGATTCCATTATTGTATGGTTTATGACAGATCGGTAATAGCGCGTTTACACCAAACACTTGATATAATTTCATTGTGAGAAATACTTAAATTAACAACGTGACTTTATACCATGCAAGAAGAAGAATACAGGTAGATGCATTAACGCTTTGGAACATTGATATGTCAAAATTGTTTGAATAATTATTCAAAAAATAGCTAAATTTGTAAATTTTTCCTAAACGACGCCAATCGGAGGTTGTGTTGATATGAATTTTTTAACAATTTTTAAAAATTTGAATAATTGTTCATTCAAAAAATTTCAATTTAAAAATTGGTTTGACGGATCATTGTCCCAGCAGCTGTGCCAATGCTAGTACGCTTATTCTTCTACTATGCTTTTGAAATTGAAAATGTTCAATGAAAAATTATTTAAATTTGTTAAATTTGTTGAAAAATGCGATTTAAAAAAAAACTCTGAATGAGAAAACAATTAAAAATCTACTTATTTTTGTCGAAACATTTAAAATTTTTTTGACATATCAATGTTTCCAAGCATTGATGCATCTACCTGTATTCTTCTACCATAGATACTACTTTAAATCAACACAAACTTAAAGCCTTATTTACACCGAACGCGTTACAATAAAATGCGTTATTTAGATTGTCAATTCAATTATATGTCAGATAAATGACGAATCTTCTTAAAACGCGTAATTTAGGTGTGGATAGAATATTCAAGGCAATAATTTTAGAGAAAAATGGTGACAGAGTTATCAAAATGACTAGAAATGTTAATAACAATTAAAAGTGAGAATACATAAAACGCTTTTTTGACTGAAGTAAAGGTGGGAATACACAAAGCGTTTATTTGGCTGGCTTAAGTCATCGGCTAGCTTCTTCGTAGAGGAAAAAAGGAGTTTTATTTTGACTTAGTTCAATTTTGGCCCTGGGCTCCTATGTTCACTTCCGAAGAAGCCAGCCGATGACTTAAGCCAGCTAGATAAGCGCTTTATGTATTCCCACCTTAAGTCATCGACTGGCTTCTACGCAGAGGAAGAAAGGATTTTTAGGTTAACTTAGTTCGATTTTGGCCATATGCTCCTTTGTTCTATTTCGTAGAAGCCAGCTGATGACTTAAGCCAACCAAGAAAGCTTTTTATGCATTCTCACCTTAACTTTGTCATTTTTACATTTTGATATTCTCATTTTTATTGAATTTCCATTTTTATTTTCTATTCATTTTGGCAATCAGCTGATATCCAAGAAAACAATTTATAGAAAAAGATGTATTTTTGGTACTTTATGACAAGTTGTAACCAAACATGCAAAGTTGCATAAAATAGTATGGTAATTTCGTGTTTCGTTTAGAATTAATCGTCATTTATTTTTGTAATATAAAAGCGAAAAACTGCACTAGTTTTAGCAAATAAATGGCGCAACGGCTCTATATCCAGATTTAATTGGTGTAAACGTTCTATAATGTTCATGGGATTGTTCAAATTATTAGTTAGAGAATATTGCTTTGTTTGTGAAATGTATAGCAGGATATGTATGTGTGTGTACCTACCTTTTAACAACGAAGTCTTAAGAGAGGAAGAAATAGAAGAATTTTGTGAGTCAAACTTCTGAGAGAGTACGGTAGTGTTGTTCTCTTTAAAAAAAACTCTGAAAAGTAAACAAGCAATCAGCTGATTTGTTAAAACAAAACAATTTGTCCGCAATAAAAATTAATCAACCAAAAATTACAGAAGAGTCGAAAAACAAAACAATTAGGCTTGCGATATTCCTGATTGATATGTGTTGCTCAAATATATATCACCCAAAGGAGAAGAAAAAGAGTTACAAGTAATTGCAAGAAGAAATTTGTCCATCAAGAATTTGCAAACGCTCATTAAAATGACAGTCAAACTGTTTCTCTCTCGAATCGATTTTTTTTGTGTTAACAGCCGACTTCCAGTGACAATTTGCAACACAAATCAAAGGGTAACCAGACACATCTTATTTCAAGACTTCGTTTTTAATGTTTAAAAAAAGCATTTAATCTCTGTAAGTGATGCATATTCTGTATGTGTATTATCCGTTTTTTTCATTGATTTTTCTTTGAATTCCTATTGACTTTCCTTCTAAATTTTTTGATATTCTATGTTTATTTCATGTTCATATACTTATTTTTTATTATGAATAAAATATCAGCAATGCAGTAGTATTTAGTTTTTTGTTTCGGTTATTTGTTTCTTAGCAATTGAAGTTATTATTTTCTTTTGTTATCTAAACTTATCTAATCTCATTTAAGATGCATTTCAATAATAATTTCTAAACTAAATGGTTTTTGTTTTTGTGTTTTTATTTGGAAAGAAGATTCTATAAATTCGAAGCTTAGAGTAACTACAAATGTAAAAAATTGTTAAGATTGTTGTGTTCTTGTAATGTCCACATAGGTATGTATGTAAAAGTAATAAATATACAGGCACTTTAGTAGGTTAATTAGAAAACAAAGAGGGCAGAGTTACTAAAAAAGATATTATGTTATAAGTTTGACAAATATTTGCAGAAGGGTAAGGAGGGCGAGGAAAGCCAAAGCAAAAAAAAGATATTTTTTTATTATCCCTCAGAAAAATATACCCAATTCCTCATTCAAATGCAGCACTGCATTTGCAGGGAGACAAAAAAATGAAAATAAAAAAAAACAAATTGTTGCCAAATTTGTCTACTTGTCTCTTCTGAGTTACTCTCACAAGTGGCCATGGAATTTCTAAATAAAAGCATATTATGACACAAGTGTTGTTGCTGCCGTTGTCGTTGTGGGCCAGTAGACAATGCAACACCAGTGTTCTGTCAAATTAACTAGTCACTGACATTGTAGAACAGCTGTAATTCTAAACATGATAACATGCATATTGTATGTCTTCTTTATTGCACTCGACGACAATGCTCGCCCCTTTTGCAGTAGATCCTATGTCAAGTAGGAAGGAAACAACACGAGGGTAATAACGAAAGTTGTGTTGTGATCTGATGTCAGACAAATTGTCGATTATAAATTCTTGATAAAGAAAGAGAGCAGATCAATTAATTTTTGAATGATATGAAATCGATGGGAATGTAGCAACCAAAGTCAATGAGACCAAAAATTTTTAAAAAGTTTAAAATATTGTTAAGTTTGCGTTACGTTACGTTTTATTAAAACATGTTTGAAATAAATAAGACTTTACTTCTTTAAGAGAAAAACAACAAAAAACGACATCAGATATTCTATCTCAGTGAATGATATTCCCTGGAAGTATGGGAACAATAAACTAGTTTAAAATTTTAAAACTAGATTATAATACTATGTTTACATTAGAGTTTTTGTCAAAAATAAAACAGTAAAAAAAACAGTAAGTTCGGCTGGGCCGACATCCGTTGAAAATTCTGTTAAAATGTTAGAAATACCGAATATAACCGTTATATTGGATTCTATACGAAGACGTGGACCTGCATAGACAACTTTTGTCATAAGCCATTACAATATTCAAATACGTAAAAAAATCAAGTGAATGATATAACTAAAATCATCAAAATACCGAATATAGGTAGATACCGTTATATTGGGGCTATATACGACAATTTTATGTCACAGGCTGTAGTAGCTATTAGGAACTTCAAATACGAAATTTCAAACAATTTCGGTGAACATTGTACCAAAAATCGCCAAAATACCGAAATAGGTGCAGTTATGTGGAGGCAATACGAAGACGTGGGCCTGCTCACGCAATTTTTTTTGCCATAGGCTGTAGTACCCTTTACGAATTCTAAATACGAAATTTGATACAACTCTGGTGAATAATGTTCATAAAATCGTCAAAATATCGATATCGGAAGCTACCGTTGTATGTGAGCTATACGATATCATGAACCTACGAGTATATAGACATGCCTCTTCCAAGGTTGAAAGAGCTTCTAGTATGGATATTTAAACAATTTCATTATTTCAATATCGTGGATCTATATACAGAATACTCTTGCGGGAGGTAAAGTACTCAGAAGAAACTCCATTTGTGAATTTTCAAACAATTTCATTGAAAACATTTGGCTACAATCATCATAATACCGAATATCGGGGTTACCGATACATGGGGGGTATACGATATAGTTGACCGATATAGCCCATCTTCGAACTTGATCTGCCTGAAGACAAAAGACTGATCTGTGCAAAATTTTAGCTTCACACTTTTATCCGCTTTGACTCTAGCGTGATTATAACAGACGGTCAGACGGACAGGGTTAAATCGTTTTACACTGATCAAGAATATACTTTGTTAGGTCGAAAATTATTATTTCGATGAGTTACAAAAGAAATGACGAACTTAATATACCCTCCATACAATGGCACAATTACAGAAGGTAGAACAAAGCTACCTCCTAAATACATTTTTTTCTTTTGGTGCATTTTTTCTATTTGACATAATAAGACTCCAGTACAGTGTTGCATTTTTCTAGTTTCCTGGAAGTTGAGCAACCTTTCTTATTAAGCCATGCTCCATACTATGTATGGTGGAGGGTATTAAACTAATTTCGAAAAATATTAAATATTATTAAAAGGTTACCTTCTTTATTCTATCATGCTACTAATTTTACTCAGACAAATTGTGTCTTATGATAGACAGTAAAATTGGTTATTTTTATGCATTGAATGCAAATTACATTACTTTTTTCGAATTATGGGACAGTTCCTTGATGTCTAGGTCCAGAATAATATAGTTTAAATGAATAATTCACGGAAAAGAGCAGCTGAACTAAGTCCATGAAGATCTTTCATATTAGTTCACTAAAGATAACAGGACAGTACACGGTCTGCTGACACTTAAGCTTTACCGAAATAGTAAACATATAACAACCTGACTACCTCTGAGCTTTGATAAATGATGAATATCTGTCTTTCGCTCCATTATTCTTTTGTCCATCATTTCTTTTATGTTTCAGCAATATTCAATTGATTTCCATTTGTCGAAAATTATTGTTTTCTCAAAAGGATTAAAAAGGTAAAAATTGTGGGAAAAGTGTGTAAGGGATTGATTGATGACAACTCTGATTCAAGACAATTTGTCTTGTGTAAACCTCAGTTGAGTCTTTTGTTGTTGATCAGATACAAAGTCTAAACAACGCCTTTGTTGAAACTCTCGCGACTTCGGAGTGCGATTTTGTAAATAATTAACTATTGAGTTAGTTGCTTATACTTTCGGTATTTTACGAAATTTTCCTGAGAAATTAAAATTTTTTCCTGAAATCAAAGTCGTCGCTAAGACCAGACCTGCCGATAGGTAAAAATGTGGTAAAAATTTTGTGTGCGTCAAAGTTAGAGATTTCTGTCCTTAATGGCATAAACACTAGAGAATCTCACTATTGGTTCAATAAATCAGGATTAAGCAAAACAATCCTGATAATGAAGGCTAATATCCCAGCCAATTTCATTTCCCATTAGATCTTAACCTACCTCCTTTTATGTTTTCCTTTATGAGTTTTCTTAAGTTGCTTATTATTATCACTTCTTATGATGTGATAGCTATCGCTGTTGTTGTCTTGGCAACTAACATTACAAGCAATGCAATTATTTAAGTGTCATTGAAGCGATTGCCCGGGCACTTGAAGAGGATAAAAAGCGCTCTAGGAAAAAAAGTGTTTATTAATTAAGTTATCGTCTTTGAAAAATATAAACGGAGCAACAGACAGACAATAGACAACGAATTATTGTGGTGACAATAACCCGTAGCTAAGCCAACCAAGCAGCCACCCAGGAATTTGATTTTCTTTGCTGCCTTCCCAGAATCGTCCCGGGTGGTTTGGTTTGGTTTCATGGCTGCCAAGTTTTTCTGCGAAAACGGAGAGGATTGGCTGACAGCCATAAAAATTGCCTTAGCTTGTCTTGCATTGCTAGGGAATGGTTGGTCTTCTGAGGGGGTTTCCTTTTCTCGTTGCAAATGGCTGGCTAAGGAATTGGGTTATTTCTAACTGAGTTGCATTTATCAAGCGTTAGCAGATTCTTATAAATAATTCACAAAGAGCAGGGATTTCCTTAAAAATTGAGCATTTCTCATAAAAAATTGTTGTTTTTGTTTTTTTTAGTTATTCTTTTTGGGTTAATTTTTTGTTTTCTCTAAAAAGGAAACCTTGTTGTTTCTTCCTTATGGCTTAGGCTTTTAACTTAGCTTAGCTTAATTTACGTTGTTATTTTATTTTGTTTTTAATTAATACTACTTGACTAGATGCTAAAAAGAGAAGCAAACACATGATAGAGAGAAAGAGAGAAAGTAAAGTAAAGAGAAGAGCATATTGTTTGGCTTACTTGAAGAGGGAAATAAAGTGAGAGGATCAATTGAAAGTCAGAGCAGAAGAAGAAGAAGGAGACAGAGAAGTCAAGTTATTTGTTATAGGGCTGTAGTTGCAGAATTTTTGTTCCATTTCTAGGGATTGTTGTAGTTGCATTTTAGTTTGTAAAGATATGTTTAAATTGTCAGTTTCTTTTGGTTGATTATATGCATATGTTGTTTTAGTTGTTATTATTGTTGTTGTATAAGATTTATTTATTTTTTTTATATGTTTTGTATGTATAAATATGATGTTAACACATTCCAATTATTATTGATTTTGCATTTAGAATTAGATTTAATTAATTTTTTTTAAATTTATTCAATTTGTATTTGAATTTGTTTTTGTAATTTAAATTGTATCACATTTGAATATGTTTTAATGTTGTATTTTCTTATTTTTTGGTTTTCAATTTGTGCACTTTTTCTTTTATGTCTTCTTCTTTTTTCCTTTTTCGTTTTGTTTCAATCTCTTTCTTTGATACCCAACACTCTCCTGAACCCCGACAATGGTTTCAATGCACTGCTATTGTTTATTCCCGTTAGTGAAGTCGTTGCTGACGCCGACGCAGACGAGGAGGTCAGCGAATAGGCATTTTGATATGTGACGGGAAAATCTGTCGGGGCCAGGAGTAAACCTCACGTCCGTACAAACTTATACACTATGAGAAAGACCATAAAAGAGATTGCCACTAATATCACGGCGGTTACCACTTTGGCGCAGGTATTTAAACCGGATTCATTGGGATTCAGGGGACGCGAACTCATCCGTGTGGCCGAGCGTCGACGTTTGGAAGCCAAACCGCGTGCCAGCGCTGGAAACGCCAGTGATTGCGTAAAGGTCAGTTTGTGTATCGATTCACTCAACGAGTAGGGACCGACGGAACCGCGCGCCGCGGCACGCAGCAAGGCATACTCCAGATCGAGGGCATCGAAGAGCGAGTAACGCGTCACGGTCGATGATCGCCGACGCTCGTGGCGTGAATCACGTTCTCGATCTGATTGCGGCTGTAGCCACGGATCGGAGACTCGCTGCTGGGCCCCCGCACCGGCGGCAGCAGCCAGTGCTGCTGCAGCAGCAGAGGAGGATACTCCCCCGCCTAGGCTTACCGCAGCCACGGAGGTTAGCGACGAGGTCGTCGATGACGAGGCAGAACAGAGGCGCAAATTTGTTGCCAGACCATTGTCGTGAAACTCAGTCGCATCCTCAATGGATGTTTGATCGGGTGAAGTTTGGGCCCTCTCCAAGGCGGCGGCATGTTTCATGCGCAACGCAAACAGCCGGGCGTGATCGGGATGCAGTAGGGCACTGGATTTGCGGCGATAGTTTGGCGCGCCCACGCTAATGCTGGCCCTCGCACCCATGCGATTGCCGCGCAACGAGGGGTTGGGCGATCCTTGCGTGGGCGTGGTGGCAGGTGAAACATTGCAGGAACTTATCGTATCGGCCGAAGGATTGGCCATACCAATCAGAGTCACCCCCGGTGGCGGAGGCAATGCATTGGGTGAGGGTGATGCCTGAACAGAATCGATGCCTGAGTCGCCGGCATGCAAAGTATCACAGTAGAGTGAGTTGCGACGTTCGCCTGTGTTCAGAGTCAAATGATTGCCGGTGCTGTTGCTGCTGTTGCCCGATGTGCTGGTTAACAGAGTGGTGTTGCCACTGGTGGTGCTGCTGCTATTGCCGCCCCCACTGCTGCTGCTCGTACTGGTCTCGGCAATGGCAGGGAATATAAACGACTGGCCATCAGCTTCGCCTCGTGGCGAGTCCTAAAAATATAACAGGAAACGACAAAGATTTAATGGCAAAACAACAACAGCGGCAGCAACAATACAATGGTAATTTGCAATTTGCAGTAGAGAGTAAAAAAACTAGACTTGAGGAGGAGGAGGAGGGGGCGAAAAAATTAAGTGCTTAACGATCTGAATGGCAAAGTAGTCACTAGAAAACTGGTTCAAAAGAAATAGTCATTGCCATGGTGTAAGTGTTGTGAAATCGAGGGGTAACGGGGGGGGAGAGTTATACTTTGTGATGACTTGGAAAGGTGTGATTAAGAAAAAAACATGTTTAAAAAAAGTAATAAATATATACAAAAATGTGAGTGAGAGGAAAAAAAATACACTGAATAAGAGTAGTTGGGGGCAAAAAGGATACGAGCAGAAAGGGTCTTTTTTAGTTTAAATTTATACAAATTGGGGGCTTTCAATTTGCCAATTGCCACAAATTGAAAGTTACACGTTGCAGGAACTATTTGGGGGAGTAAATATTTGTTAAAAGTAGCTAAATTGTTTATTAAAAGTATTAAGAAAAAAACATGCAAGCTTTAAGAAGTAGAAAAAAGTTTAGTTTCGAGTAAAAAAAAGGAGAATTGATGTTCATTGAGTTGAACGCATACCCTTTGACCTTCAGGACCGCTGTTACGACGCAACTGTAAAAAACCTTCCTGTCTTAGCAGCGGCTTTAAAACCCAATGTACACGCACGCACGCACGCATACACCCACACGCGGCGACGAGATTTTGGTTTCGTTTTGTTTTTTATTGTTTCATTTTATGTGTGAATATTTGTTTTTGTTATGTTTTTTTTTTTTTTTTGACAAGGAATCCATTTAAAGCGTCCTCACAGTGACAGAGACACGACGAACAAGTAGTAAGAGAGAAATGTAGAGGGAAAGAGACGAGATAAGATATATATGTGGTAATGTGAGACGAGGCGAATGATAATCAACTCAACAAATGAAAGAAACAAAAAAAAAATATAACAAATCTACAACATATGTGACCAGGGATGGGAAACTTGATATGATTTTCAGCTGTTAACCCTCTTTTGTTATTGTAAAACGTTGAGATACAATACATTGGGCGCCAAATATGACTGGAAACACTTATTTTCTAATGTAAACATAAAATGAAAGGGGTTTGACATGTCAATTAGGCTAATTGTAAATCCAAAAAAATCAGGTACAGGTTATTAACGTTAGGCGCCAAATTTAATAATTTAAATTTAGTACTGTATAATTTCCCTCAAATGCACTACATAAAATAAATTTGTGGGGATAGATAAGCCCTACCTCTAGATCAGCTTTATAGGGAATACTCAAGTTGGGCGCCAAGGAGGACCAGCAATTTTTATATTTCTCATATTTGTTCTAATTTTTGGGTTTTACAATGGACTTTGTGTTCTGCTATGTGATAGGATGTATACCCTACCTCTAGATCAGCTTTATAGGGAATACCCTAGTTGGGCGCCAAGGAGAACCAGCAATTTTTATATTTTTGATATTTGCTCTAATTTTTGGGTGTTATACTGGACTTCTTTTTCTGCTATGTGATTGAATGTATATCCAGCTTTTTTCGCAATAAAAATTCGAAGGACACCAACATTGGGCGCCAAGTAGGCTATAATAGATTTCAATTTTTCATGCAGTGGTTGTATTACATAAAAACACTATCCCTGTCGATTTATAAGACGTTTTTAACTTTCCCCACGTTGGGCGCCATATGATATTTACTTTTGCATACAAATATTTTAAAACCTGCCATGGGAATTTTTCGATGCAGATTTCGCATCTTCTGTGAAGACATAATTAATTTATTCATATTAAAATTATGAGGACTACACAAGTTGGGCGCCAAAATGGTAGGGCACCTTTTAATGAAGAAATAGGAAAAAATTACAAAGAAATACTGTAAAAATGTTAAATTTTTTCTTGTTGCTATGCTGTGATAAAAATTCGGATGACTTCAACTTTGGGCGCCAACTAGGGTGTTCTAGATTGTGAGTTCGCATACGATAGTTGTTTTGTAAAAAAGCTATCCTTGGTAGTAAATTCTTAGGAAATTTCTAACTTGCCCCAAGTTGGGTGCCATATGAGGCATGCCTCTGCAAGAATCCTGTCCTGCTTTGTGAATATTTGAATACAGATTTCACATCTGTATGAAATAATATTCCTAGTGCCAGAATTTTAAGAAATTTCTATCTTGATCAAAGTTGGGCGCCATATTTAACATATCTGGACATACAAATTGTTTAAAGTCTGTGATGGGAATTTTGAATACTGATTTTACTTCTGTTTGTTGCTGTTTGTAGAGATATTATATTTTATATCGAAATTATAATAACTCTCGACGTTGGGCGCCAGAATGGTAGTTCTGCTGTTTAGACTACCCTTAAGGGTAAATAATTTGCGGCGGTGTAAATTCCACTTTTTCCTTCTAAAACATTTTTTTTAATAAAAAATCGAAGGACTCTTACGTTGGCGCCAACGTGGCTTTTATTATTTCACAATTGATAATTCCATTGTATGAATAAATATCACTGGTGCTAGAATTGTAGGAAATTTCTTACTTGACCCACGTTGGGCGCCATATAAAATATACTTTTGCATACAAACCATGTAAAACCTGGGATTGGGAATTCGGGCACTTCTTTCACATCTGTTGTAGAGATATAAAATTTATTGTCAAAATTATATGGGCTCCTCACGTTGGGCGCCACAATGGAAGTGCCGATTTCAGGCATGTAAAACCTGGGATTGGGAATTTGGGCACTTCTTTCACATCTGTTGTTGTTTATTATCAAACTTATATGGGCTCCCCACGTTGGGCGCCACAATGAAAGTTCCGATTTTCAGGCATCCTTTAAAGAAGACCTAAAGATTTTCCGACAAATAATGTAAATTAAAATTTTCCATCCCTGGATGAATGCACACAAACGACTGATGGGTTAACTATATTAAATATCAGTATGTATGAGTGTTAAGAATGTTTGAAATACAAATACAAAAAATAATATAATTAAAAAAACAAAAGAAATTATTTTTCGTATATTTTCAGATAATAAAAACAAAGAAAAGAAAACTCAAAAGCGTAACATTTTCAACGCTGTCATTGGCTGCTTTTGTTTTGTTTGTGGTGTTATCTTTTATCAAGACCATACAAATCTAAGCTTTACATGAACCTTCAGCCAAAAGGTCAGGTCTTGGGAAGTCACATTGTCTGTGTGTATGTGTATGTTTCTGTTGTTGTTTTTTGCATTTTATACCTACCTGACTTGGCCAAACTTGTAGTAATGGCAATGAACATGTGGGCTTATTGTTAAGCGAAGAGGAGCCACCATTGCCCAAGGATGTTTTATTTTTACTGCCAGCGCCGCCGACCCCGCCACCTTCGCTATCCGCCCCGCCATCGTACGTGGGAGCACTTTGAGCCAAACTGGTGTAGTGCAAGTGATTAAAACGCTGGACATCATTTGAGGAGCTCTTGGCTCGTGTTGGACTCTCGTATCCGGTTGAATCTTCGGATGAAGTGGTTTTTGGCGAACGCCAAAATCGTTTCAGACGCAGTTCGCGTCTTTTTTCTTGTTTCTGTTTGGTTTGCGGGAGAAGAATGGGAATACAAAAGAAATAGAGAGACAACGAAAAAGAAATGACAAATGATAAGATGTGACCAGGAAGAAAACAAATTATTTGAATATCTTTTGTTAAAGCTTAAAAGGTAAGTAATTTGACATTTATCTTGGAAAACAAAAGGGCAACAAGTTCCGTAAATGAGACAAGGCTTAAGAGAGATTTCCCTTTTGGCTTTCTTTTGGAAAATAGTTGTCAGCAAGTTCTTTTTTGTTTAAATTACAAATTGTTTCCTTTTCTATGTAAGTTTAGTTTCTTTTTTGACTTTGTTACTCTTGAGATTACAACTTATAATTTCTTCTGGTATTTTTTTGGTGTTCTGACCTCCCAACATGTCATGGAGGATGCAGAAATTGTGTGGCAACAGGAGATTCCGATTACATTGTACTCTTCTTATTTTTTACCATTTGAGGAGAAAAGACAAGGGAAATGCTTTGCAAAGAAAGTTAAAAACTTTAGTTCAGACAATTGTTAACTTTTCCTGTCGAGTATGACAAGGAAAGGAATATTTGTTTACTTTGCAAATTTGATTTGTTAACAGATCAGATAGAGAGAAATTAGGAAAAAAATAAAATGTCTCAAAGAAAATGGCAGGGGTCTGTAAATCGACTGTCTAGTAGGTATCAATGGAGATAGTAACAATAGAGATAATGTTAATACTCTACATTCTCTCCTAAAGTTGACTAAATGTTGTTCTTACTCTATTTATTTATTTTTTTGGTGAGAAAGAGAAAAATCTTTTTTACTCTCCTGACGAGAACTTAAATCAGGACCGGGCACAGAGTCGTACATTTATGTTCTCCCAATTTTGTTACTCTCTCTTTACATCGTTTTTAAGTGGCCCTGATTGTGAGTATGGAGAAAATTACGCATGCCTGCTCTTGTCTGGCCTGAATTAATGCCAACTTTGCTAAGATCATTTATTTGACGTACTGGGTGATATAAAAAAACTGCTACGAAGTCAAACGCCATAATTTTTACCTTTGGCACGAATTATGGCCTTTAAACGGCCAATGAAACCGTCACACACTGTCCGAATGTTGCTCTGCTGTATTTTGGCCCATTCCCGGCGAAGCGCTTGCTTACGGTGATCGACACTTCGGCATATTTTTAGTGCCAACCTTGCTTTTCAAAATTCTCCAGACACAATCGTCCAACAGATTGGTATCCGAAGATTTTGGTGACCATTGTGCACTGGAAATGAAGCGAGGAAGCTCATTTTGTAACCATTCTTGGATGGCGCGTGCTGAGTGCGATGTCCTGTTAGAATGTCCAAAGTCTGCGGCCATAATGTTTGCATGCCCAAGGCTTTAATACACCCTCCAGAATATTTTTGCGATAATATTCGGCATTTATTCTGATGCCACGGTCGATTAATACGAGCGGAGAGCGACCATCGGCTGTTATGACTTCCCACACCATCGCCATGGCCGGCGCTTGAGTTCTGGTGGCCAAACAAAGGTGCACAGTTTCAGCTGACCTCTTTGGCAAGTAAACACGATCATTTTGTTTGTTTACAAACTGCTGGACAACGAATGTTTTCTCATCGAAGATCGGAGAAAACCAAATTCGGCAGTTCAACACTTTCGGACAAGCGAAGCAACTCTTTAGCTCTTTTGAGTCTATTTTCTTTCCATTGCGGTGTAAGTTCTTGCACTTTTTGGAATTTCAATGGCTTTACCCCGAGCTCATTTTTCAATATTTGCCGATATGTTCAGTTCACTAGCAGTATATTCCCATTGCCCCACCCACTTACAATTTACAATAATTGAAATATAGATGGCGCTCCCTATAACATAGAGCAAATTTAAATAGATTTTTGAGATTATTAAGGCCATAACCTAAATCTGGCGGATGCTTCATTATGCGAGCCACATCAAGCCCTAAAAACTCAAAGATACCGCATTCTTACTTCACAGCTAACACATTTCAAAAGCGATTACTACAATTACTAAACATTCCAATAACACTCAAGTATTGCCAATAACAAATCATTATATCCTGATGCATTTCCTTTGCCGCAACAGCAAAACAAAAAAATCCCATTATCCTTTTTTCTCGTTTTTTTACAGGGCAGACTATACATTGCTCGATATTTAGATCCTTTTTTGCACAAAACAACTTCAGTCAATTTAATTCGAGTTTTTTTGCTCCTTCATTCAATGCATCTTCCCCTCTTGCCTGCCCCCCTCCTGCCGCTTCATGTGCTTCCCATAGAACATAACATTGATGGTTTTTGTGTTTGTGTGCCACAAATCGAGAACAATTGCTGCTTTTGCTCCACTAATGATGGTGGAGAATTTTTGCAAAACTGCAAGGACAAGAGTTATTTGTTGGGCGGGTGGGGGCCAGGAACAAGGAGGTAACATGTGAAAGGACAAAAAAAATATTGTTTAAAACTGGTTGGTTTTTTTTTTTTTTTTTTGTTCGAATGCAACAGCTGGCAACATTGAGCTAAATTGGACTTGCCAACAACAACATATTGGTTGGCCGGACCGGTCGAGTCCAGTCGGTTTGTCGATTGCATGCCATGCTCTCCTTTGTCCATTTGCCGAGTTGGGCGCCATCAATAATAGATTTCTGTTGGAATGTTGAAATCGACGACAAGCTGCAGACTTGCCACAAAAACGAACAAAAAAAAAGGAGAAAAATAAAAATCGGACACCCACCACTTTTGTGTGTTTTCTGTTCTTGTTGTTCGAAATAAACAATGGTGGCGGTTATGTTGAGGTATAACAGTTTTGACGGGTGCTTAAAAATGAAATACCAGACCAAATACAGCTTTGCCAGTGGTAGAGCAGATAAACCTGCCTGGATTTTCATATTGAATTGGATAGCTGGTCATCGATGAGCAGTTTTGAAATTTCATTTTCATTGAATGCAAAGGACATTGGGATTTTTAAATTTAATAAATTTTAAACAAAATATATATATTTTGATTGTAATTTCATCATTAAGCCTTGATTGTTGAGTCCTCTGATTATACGCCAAACAAATTACGAATCTTTGCAAAGCACATAATTAAGAGGTCGCTAAAGCAATCCCTACCCTATGTTATCCTTAAACGTTAAATATATTTAGCATTTAATTGCACGGAATTACTTCATTTTAACATTCCATTACCTCCATTTCGGGATAACAAATTTAAAACCTGGATCTCTGACAACCGCCACTGGCATTCAAACGGAATACCATATGTAAATGGAACATGTTTGTTTGTTTTCCGAAACCACTGCTCTCTCTCTCTCTCTCTCTCTCTCTCACTCACCCATCACGTTCTCATCCGGCTGTCTTACCTGCATATTTAAAAATCAAATCCTTTTTATTGTGGTTTTTCATCCCCAGTCTCTTTATTCCCGGTTGGCTATCAATTGGAAATGAGGAGCGCATACAAATATTTGACTGTAATTATAGAAGAGAAATTAATGGATTTTTATGTGTGTGTGTGTGTGTGTGTGTGGAGGATAAAATGTACAAAAACATCACGACGACGACAGCAACAACACAAATGATAAAGAAATACGAAACATAATTTGCATGTATCAGTGGGTGGGTGTATGAGTGGGTGTGTGTGTGACTTTTAATTACACATCAACGGGTCTCAAATGTAATGTTTGTTTTACATTTTTTTCTGTAAAATTGCATTGGAATTACGTGGGAGAAGGAACTTAAAGGATAAGTGGCAATGTATTAAATCGAACACATAGATAAAAAAACAAAAATAAATAAAAATAACAATGAATACATAAATGAAAACAATACATAAATGTTTATATATTTTGTTGTTTATTTATTTTGTTGGTTTACACCTTTTTTGTAGAAAACCGATCAATTTGGGTTCTTACTAAGTGATAAACATTAAAACTCTTGAAATCATTTGACATCCATTAGAGTTTGACAACCCCGTTCATTGAGTGGAACTATATTTGAAAAGGGAACTAGTTACCTCATATATTTCCTTAGTTAGATTCAGTTCACTTCTTAACATGTCCAAATAAAGTCTGTCTGGTTACGCTAACCAGTAAAATTTACTCAGAAAATACTTTTTAAGATAATTAAGGGGTGAATACATGAGGGGATTTTTTTCTAACATTAATCATTGATTGAATTTTTTGTAAAATAATAATAGTTTAGATTGGCATTGTTTAATTACGAAAACGGCAGTGTGTGACTTATGCCAGAATAAAACCCTCATAGGTATTCCTCTCATGGGATAATTCAAATGAAGATGGATATGAGAGGAATATGGATATGAGTGGAACTATATCAGAAAGGGGAACTAGTTATCTTACATAGTTTCTTAGTTAGATGTAGTTCACTTCTTTACATGTCCAAATAAAGTCTGTTTAGTTACACTAACCAGTAACATTTACTCGAAACTACATTTTGAGAATGGTAGAAGAATACAGGTAGATGCATCAACGATGCATTATACGACACCAATCGCAGGTTGTTATGATATGCATTTTTTTTAACAATTTTTACAAATTTGAATAATTTTTCATTTAAAAATATTATTACATAATTGGTTTGACACTTCATTGTCCCAGCAGCTGTGTCGATGCAAGTACCTGTATTCTTCTACCATGCTATGTGATAAAAACTAAAACTCTTCTTAGAAACCATATCACACCTATTAAGGTGAAGATACATAGAAGGCTTTTTTGATAGAAGATTTTTTGATCAGCTGGTTTCTTCGTAGAGGAACAAAGGAGTTTTAGGTTGACTTAGTTCGATTTTGGTCCCAGGCTCCTTTGTTCATTTACGAAGAAGCCAGCCGATGACTTAAGCCAGCCAAAAAGCGCTTTATGTATTCTCAATCTTAGAGTGTGACAACGTCGTTCATTGAGTGGAACTGTATTCGAAATGGAACTAGATACTTTATATAGTTCCTTAGTTAGATTTAGTTCACTTCTTTACATGTTTAAATAAAATCTGTCTGGTTACGCTAACCAGTAACATTTACTTGAAACTACATTTTGTAATAGTTAAAAGGATTTTTTTCTACCTTCGATTACCTTAAAGTCGTTTTACGAAAAAATCAGTGTGTGACTTATGGCAGAATAAAATCCTCATAGGAATATGTATGCTGAATATGGCAGTATACAGGATGAGATGAAAAACTGCAACCAACTTCAGACTGCTGTCATTTCTAAGCCACTCGTCCGACAGCTATTAAAATTATTCCAGTGACAGCTCATTATATTGTTTACAAGTGTACACAATTTTCCAGAAAAAGAGTTATTTGTGATGGAATTCAAGCGTGATAGTGTGATTTCTTTATATTTGGCTGGAAAACCACAAGTGGCTATCGTTAGAGCACTCCAGCATTTAAATGTGAATACATCTTTTGTGTCTCGTACCATCGCTCGTGACTGTGATACTGGTAGCGTAGTCCGACGTCAAGGGATTGGACGGAAGGAAACAGCAACATCAGCAGAAATGGTTCGAAAAGAAGAGAAGCGACTTGATCGAAACCCGCGTCGCAGTGGCCGAAAAATGGCTCGTGAGCTGAACATATCGCAATATACCATTCGGCAGATATTGAGAAATGAGTTCGGGGTAAAGTCATTGAAATTCCAAAAAGTGCAAGAACTTACACCGCATCAGAAAGAATATAGACTCAAAAGAGCTAAAGAATTGCTTCGCTTGGCCGAAAGTGGTGAAATGCCGAATATGGTTTTCTCCGATCTTCGATGAGAAAACATTCGTTGTCCAGCAGTTTGTAAAGCAAACAATATGAGCGTGTTTACTTGCCAAAGAGGTCAGCTGAAACTGTGCACCTTCGTTTGGCCACCAGAACTCAAGCGCCGGGCATGGTAATGGTGTGGGCGGCCATAACAGCCAATGGTCGCTCTCCGCTTGTTTTAATCGACCGTGGCATCAGAATAAATGCCGAATATTATGGCGAAAATATTCTGCAGGGTGTATAAAGCCTTGGACACGCAAACATTTTGGCCACATACCTTGGACATTCCAACAGGACTCAGCACCATCCACTCAGCACGCGCCACCCAATAATGGTTACAAAATGAGGTTTCTCGCTTCATTTCTAGAGCAAAACCTCCGAATACCAATCCGTTGGACTATTGTGTCTGGAGTATTTTGGAAAGCAAGGTTGGCACTAAAAAATACCAAAGTGTCGGTCACCTCAAGCAAGCGGTTCGCTGGGAATGGGCCAAAATAACGCAAAGCAACATTCGGGCAGTGTGTGACGGTTTCATTGGCCGTTTGAAGACCATAATTCGTGCCAAAGGTGACCAATTCGAACAAATCTAAACTTATTCTACAATTTGATGATATTTCCGACATTTTCTGCTTTCATTCAATAAAATTGAAAAAAAAAAATAAATAAAAATTATGGCATTTGATTTTGTTGCTGTTTTTATCTCACCCTGTATAATCTAATCAGAATCTACAAATGGCCACTTGGTTAAGAACAAGCTCGACACCTAAAGAGCTTGTTCTTAACCAAAGTCGTTATAACAAAAAGCGGAAAAAGCAAGTAAATTAATATATGAATATACTTGAAAAATTGTAATCTGTCCTTCACTCAATTGCGAAAAATTGGCAAATTTATGTTAAAAATGCATTCAGTGCCATTTTTATTCCTTTGAATGCCAAAAAGCAGGGGTATTTAAACAAAACATCATCATAAATCACAATATTGTGTCAATTTATATTTATTTTCTGTTCCATTCTTTGCATAACCATTCATTTAAGGGTAAAACAACATTTTTCAAAAAAATAGGGGGAAACACAGATGAATCGCTTTCCTTTTGCTATTGGGACTAATTGGAGTGAAAATACCAAAGGTCTGTAAAATATCAAACTACCATCGGTCATACCTGTCCAAGTGTACACAAAATGCCCAAAAAAAAAGAAAAACAATAATTAATTGGGAGCTTAATTTTATGGAAACAAACAAAAATGGAGTGAAGGAAAATATAAATGAATAATATTTTCAAATTAACGAACATGAAAGAGGTAGGAAGGGGAACCACTTGGTGAAAAAAGGTGTTCAATGAATAGATTTTAAGAATAGGTAACAAAACCGAAAAATAGGTTGGAAAAGAAGATAAAAAATATTGCCTTGACATTTATTAGTTTGTCTAGTTCCCAACTAATTACCGTCTAATTAGTTGCAAAGAGAAACAAAACAACTAACTTTTTTCCTCTCTCTCTCTCTCCCGTTTGTGGGAAGTAACAACATGACACTTTTTAATGTTAATGTAACAAGTTTACAACATGCGTAACTAATTTTTAATTTTTTTTCACTTTTTTAAATAGTTTTCCACTTTTTAACATGTGTGCCTAATTGTTGTTCTTTTCTATACTTTCACAAACGCTTACTTTTCCAATTACAACTAATTATCAAAGTGGCTCCAACCCTCGAATTTTCCAGTGTGTAGACATACCTTAGAACGTTGACTAGTTGCCTTTTAATTGCTTTCCTTGTAATTAATTTCTGTCGATAAGAAGGCGTGCCCATTGGCCCGCGTTCAGCTATAATTTAGCCGACCCACATATAACAGCAATAATAATTGCCTGGTAAACATAACTTTAAAACGGACAATTGAATGAAATACCAAGGCCAGCTCTCGTTGCTGGACAAAAATGCCTCATCCAAAAAAAAAAAGAAAAAAAATCACCTACCAAATACCAACAACAATATTTAGCAAACAAAGGAATCAAGTAAAGTTTTGCGTGTCATTGTTTAATAAAAATCCTCTGCCATACTCACACACACACACTCTCAAACACATATATATTTATTACACATATCCTGTATACAGGATATATTATCGCATTTTCTTATCAATGGCAAAGAGCTATTAAAACCATTCTCAGCTCAACAAATGAATGGCATTCCAAGTCGAAGGCAGTTTTTTGTTCCTTCAACCTGCCCATTATCCTTAAAAGGACAAAATTATTGGGAGCTATGGGAGGAGGCAGTTGGTCTGTTTTTTTTTTCTTTTCTTTTAATTTGAAATCTGTCAAAAGAAATTCAACAACTTGCCAGGGTTGTTTGGCATCACAAAGAGAATGTCTACAAGTCTGCTTCATTATTAATTGCCGTTGACGGTAGTTTTTTTTTTGTTGTTTTCAAAGAAATTAATAGCAAAAAAAGGAAGGTAAAGAAATCGTTTTTAAGCTGTATTTATTAAATCTGTTTATTGTGGTGAAAAGCTTGATTTATAAAAAAAGCAAAGAAAGAAGATTATGACAAAAAAGAAAGGGAATAAGACCTTGTTGAATGAGATTTAACAAGTAAAAAGCAGCAAAGTTCGGCCGGGCCGAACGTTTTATATCATCCACCATTTTGAAGAATCTTGAAATAGTGGAGGGTATAAAAAGAATTTGGCAGAGTTTTGAAGTGGTTAAGGGGCCATCTATATTTT